AGGCTCCCTTGGTATCACCTGTGGCTCGTCTCTGCTCCTTACCACTCCGCCCTCTTCCAGGTGCCTCTGGCTGTACACTCCCTCACATCTACAATAAAACCCTGTCCCTCAACCACACCTGGGAGCATCATGTCCTCAGGTCATACAACCACATCACAGACATGGACCCAGACACTGTGTCAGTAGACAAAAGAAGGCACACCCTGGCTAGCAACAAAGGAAACACATTTGAAGCAACTCTGGTGCGATTTTATATTTTATAAACTGGAGGAGGGGGAGGAACAAAGGAAGTCCAGGTTTTGGGAAATGCTTCATCAGTGGTCTCTGAATTCAGGGTTGTTAGAAAGCAAGGTGGCAGACAGGATTTTGCATCTTCAGAGGTACTGAGTTAAGGAAATGGTCCATTTGTCTAAATAAGCCTTCCAACATATAATTTACAACAGAAAGAACCTGGAAACAGCCCAAATGTCTGAAAAAGAGAACCAGGGATGAGCAAAATGACACATTCGCACAATAGGCTGCTCTGAAATCACATGAAGATGAGTTTATGGATAGTGTTGGCTCTAGGTTATGTGAGCCTGAAACGTTATTCATAAAGGGGCAAAGTACAAAGTGTTAAGTGTGTAGCTATTTTGCTATCTATAAATATAGTCTTTGCACCATCTTTGCAAAGTGAAAAATATGGATCAATAATTTAATGTTTAGTATGTATGAAAATTAAGGTACTTTAACTCGACATCCTATTTTGAAAAGGGTGGTATGTCTATTATTAGACAAGGCTATTTAAGGGACATTAGGCCATTTATACACATATATGTAGGGGTATGTTTATTTATTCATTTTTGAGATAGGGTCTTGCTGTATAGACCAGGCTGTCCTTGAACTCATGGAGATACGCTTGCCTCTGCCTCCCTGGTGCTGGGATTAAAGGTTGACAACCTCCAGTACGTTTCTTATGTTCCACTGCTTGGCACTGGGGATTGAGCACAGGGCCTCGTCCACCCTGAGCACACACTCAACCACTCTACTCTCAGTAGCCCTCGGCCCCAAAGGTTTTGTTTTTAATTGTGCTTTTGGAAACCCTAAGTTTCAGAAGCACTTTGCTAAAGTTCTGTGAGATAGCTTGTAAACAGAACAACAGACTTCAGGTCATTTTTGTGAAATCACTTCCCTTGAGCTGTTTTATTTTAAATGCTTTTAGGTTTAAAAAAAAAACATTTGGATGATTTTTAGCTACTGTTTTTGCATTAAAACATTCTTTCAAGACTCTTGGAAACCGTGAAGGAACAAAGAAGAAAGTGAAGCTCACTGCCTGAAATCCACCCCATTTGTTGTAGCTTGTTTCCCATTGTTGTGATGAAGCCATCGTGACTGAAAGCAGCTTCAGGAGGAAAGGGTTTATGTCACTTAACATCATGAAGGAGAGTCAAGGCAGGAACTGGGAGGCAGGAACCGAGACGGAGTCCAGGAAGGGTGCTGCTCACTGGCTTGTTCTCTGTGGCTGGCTCAGTCTGCTCTTTTATACCACCCTGCCCCAGTGGTTGGGACCCTTCCACATCAGTCATTAGTGAAGAAAATTTCCCACGGACTTGCATACAGGCATTCTGATGAGACATCTTCTCAATCAAGGTTCCTCTCTCCAGCTTGTGTCATATTGGAAAAAACAAACAAACAAACAAACTGACCATGGCACCATTCTTAAGAACTAGCCACTAGTCTGATTACAAATGTCACTTGGGCCAGTTCATCTAGTCAGGGTTCAGCTACAGATCAGACTTGTCGAGATATTTATTAGTATGCTTATCGTAGGGAGTGGATCTACATATTTTGGGAGCTGGCTAGCCAAGAGGG